GGCTGGGCTGGGCGCAGGAAAAGAGATCAAGGAGAATTCTCAAAAGCCACCCGAGTCCTCCAACACTTGATACCACACATACCACTTTGCTGGCTCGTACAATTTTATAGATAAATGATGCAGAGTGGAGGGAAAGAATAGGATGGGACAGGACAAACCTAGCTGAGACTTGTAGCCTTAAAATATATGATTTATGTCAACATATCATGGCATGCTACCAAAACTTTCAATTTCTCATTTTAATCTTGTTTTAATGTATTGTCGAAGGCTTTTTTGTTTTGTCTTTGCAAGCCATGTTAAATACTTCTTTTCCAGTTGTACAGTCTTTGGGTTCATACTCAGTGTTAGTTTACTCTAAATTAAATCAAGTTAAATGGGTTTATTACCAAATTTATTTATTTATTTATTTATTTATTTATTTCGTTGAAGGCTTTAATGTGTCACACCCGCTGTAATAAAGCCTGAATGAATAAACTTCAACTTCAGATAGAATTGTCTTCGACTACAGATGTCATGTCCCTATGTTTCTTAAGATGTTCATGAAAACCACTGATACTGTGCAAAACAAAAAATAAAATCTATTTTAAAAAAAGCCTGTACATACATGACTTTGAGTTAGCTCTTTAAACAGAGACCTATTTCTGACCTACTCAATTCTGTTTAGCTTTTAAGCAATTTTAAATAAGACTGCAACCATTTATCATAAGCTGATAGATGATCATGTAGACGTGGCATGTGTTACTCAGTCCTGGTTAAGCAGTGAGAGGATATAGCCCTGTCAGAAATCTGCCCTTCTGGTCTGGAGTGACTTCAACCTTCATGCCCTCAAGTAAAGATCTCATGTAGTTTCTGAGTTCATGGCCTCCACAGTGACCATGGCTTTGACACAAGTAACCACAGCACCAAATTACAAGAGTGGGCACCAGCTGGATCAGGGCTTTCCTTGGAGTGAACCTGGACATGTGATCTGGATATAAAAGACATTAACATTTATCCCTGAGGAAGAATAGGAGGAGGGGGCACAATGTACCCTGTGCTCAGCTCTTAAACCAGGGCTAAATCTAATAAAGAAAACTAGAAAGCTGGTCTAGATTATATGCCTAAAATCAAGTCCAGGGATGGGAGGGTGGTTAACAAGTTTTAAAGAAGCTATTAGTCTTATAAATAAATAAATAAATAAATAAACGAACAGAAATGTGCAGGTCCAGGATGGAAAAAAAGTAGCATATGATAAGCATTAAGGTCAAAAACAGCAGATTATTTAAATATATTTAAACTCGGAAAATGTGGTAGGGAGGCCATATGATGTGCTCAAGGAAGATATGCGGAATGAAGGGGTGATCAGGCAAAAAAGACAATGCCCACAGCAGAGATGGGCATTCTGTACAAGTTCTATCACTTTCATTTCGATCAGCTATAGCGTATCTGATTTACTTCTCTTTTATAGCTGAGAGTACAATACGTACGATCAATTTATTTTACAGTGCTGTTATTTGCTGATTAGATAAACGAGTGAAAAGTGCTCCCGAAACAGGCAAACACATATCACAGTCTACCTATAGCACTGAGTGTGACAATATATTTGCATCCTTGCTCACTTCCCCATTAGCATAAAGAGGAATCCAGCTACAAATAAAAGACCCCCCCTCCCCAGCCTTTCTGATCAATGCCTAGGCTAGTTCCAGGAAATTACTGAGCTGTGCAAGGCAGTTCCTCGAAAGGGAACATTTTACTTCAAGCGACATAGGTGTATCATCCTTTTTGCCTGAAACGTATTTGCACACAGAATTAATTAAAATAGGGCTCATCAAATAGTGGGAAAAAATAAAGTATTGATTTTCTTTCTAGGTTTTCATGATCCAGGTTGGATATTCCCCTTTTGTCCCCAGCCCACCCTGCTATGTGGCGCTTGCTTTGTGAAATAATAAATTGTCATTCGCTGAGCCACACTTGCTGCAAGCTTATCAATATTAATTGAGGTAGGCTGAGATGGGGAGGAGGGATTAGTATGACCTTTCCCAACTCACGCTGGCTCAGATAGTCGAAACGCAGCAGAGGAGGAAGAAGCAGGACAGGTAATGGCATGTGGTTTTATTATCTTTCCTGCCCTGATCATATAAAAGGAATAAATGTGTCTAGCTTTCACAGTAAGTATGAAAGGGCGGCTTTTATTGATAAACTTTAGGGCAAATGAATTCTGGTTGAAATGGCACCGATTTCAGCCAGGATATATAAGATTCTCTGTTTCTATGGGAGAAAAATCAGAAGCATGAATAAGCTCGACTAGGGAAACGTTTAATTCCGGAGTGTTTGTTTAATCAGAAGGATTCTGCATGAGGTGCCATGAATGGAGACAAAAATGCGAAGGAACAAAGCCATCTATAGATCTTCCATTCCATTGTTAAGGGCAGTTGTTCACTGTAGTTCCTATGGACATTTATTTTGTGGCTTTGTTCTGCTAAAGGAAACTCAATTGTTTGTTAAACAATGTCCTTGAACAGGTCTGTGAAATTATCACTGAGTGTTAGAAGATATTTTAAAAAATGATGAAGCATGCTGGTAAGTCAGTTTCTGGGCATCCAGGGTCAGCTCTTCATTAAATTGTTTTAGGAGCATTTTTAAAATTTCACACGGATATTTTATTCTGAAACAAATTTAAATCCTTTATTTCCCTTTGTTGCTGTTTTCCTGTTTAAATAAAATGTTTAAATCTTATGTCTTCAGAAGTAGTACATTTATATAATATTGGATTTCATATAAAATATGATCCAGAAGTATTTTTTAAAAAATATGTCGATGGTATGCAATGTAGCACTGGTTAACAAAGCCATGGGTGTGTTTCTTCCTTCTTTGTCAGGGTTCATCATGTCTGACAAACCAGATTTTGCAGAAATTGAAACATTCGATAAGACCAAACTGAAAAAAACTGAAACTAGAGAAAAAAATCCATTACCTACCAAGGAAAGTAAGTGACTCCTTTGTACAGTTAATTAATTAATCTGTATGTATGATGGATAAATAGCCAGTGACCTACTGGATCACATTCCCCTGGAAACTGTTCATACAGATGTATGTTCAGGCAAGTCCTGTTGAATTGAATGCAATTTACTCCCCAAATAACTACATAAAGAATTCAAGTTTTCATAGCGCTTTCAAAAAATGATTTCATGTAGGCATGTATGTAGGCACGTATGTTGGCTTCTTCAAGTACACATGATGACTTTCAAGCCAATTGAACCACAGTCAGTGCAAGCAAGATAATAATATAATGTTTGCTTTGAACTGTTTATTTTAGCAGACGTTCCTAAGGCATTATGATTAGAATTTCATATCTAAGATCTCATGTAACAAATACCAAAGGGAGCTATGAAACCATTTCAGCCACACACACACACACACACACACACACACAAAGGATTTTGTGTTTATTTAAATATTGACAGGTGCCTTATGGCATAAACAGTTATGCCACAGTAACCTACAAAGTTGGGGCTACAATGAATTTGCAAGTTTTAAGGAGACACAACATTTTTTTTTTTTTAAACCGATAAATCCACAGCATTATTAACTACTGCAGACAATAGTACTCCATCAATTGAAAAATTACTTAGTGCTGCCCTCTGCTGGTTGGTAGTTATATCCATCATATAACATTGCTTGATGAGGCTTTTACCTACAAATACTTCAGCCACAATTAGCTTCAGTCTACTGCAAGACTGTTGCTTTTCTTGCATAAAATAACAATTTAATATGGTTAATGAAAATAATTTACTCTTTGCATCCATTTTGCTAGCCTTAATCTGAATTGTTTCCTGAAGGTTAATCTGTAGCATTGCCAACAAGAACATTATACCACAGGCCTTTTGACTTGCTCTCATCACTGCCAGAATAAAATTGCAATAGAAGATCTTCCTATATTGGCATATGATATAAATTGCTTAGTTAAGATCTCTTAACTACATTTCAATAGATGATACAGCATGTGGCTCTATCTGGCAAAAGGGCTATAAAGAGAAGGTCAATTCCTCAGATTATCTCAGAGCCAGATTCAGAGACTCAGTCACAAGTAGTCCTCAGTTAACAACTGCCCTGTTTAGCGACTGTTTGAAGTTATGAAAGCACTGAAAAAATAACTGTACAACCGGTCCTCGAACTTATGACTGTCGCAGCATCCCACGGTCATGTGATCACTATTTGTGAGCTTCACAGCCAGCTTTGAACAAGCAAAGTCAATGGAGAAGCTGGCAGTAAAATCACAAGGTGTAGTCATGTGATGTCTCCCTTAATGACTGCATCGCTTAGCGATGGAACTGCCAGTTCCAACTGTGGTTGTTAAGTGAGGACCTGTAGGGGTAAACTGGCTCTTTTGCACATGGAAAACTAAAAGCCATCTCCATGGTCAGGGCAGCTGAAAAAGTGTCACAGTCACCAGAATAGCTTCTGGCCTCTTCACCAGAACTTCACAATACACAGGAGGAACCTATTTCTACGATCATGTGAAGCAATTTGGCGATACCTTTTTTCAGCCTCTCCTTCTATGTCCTCAACTGTTCACAACATACCCCTTTTCTTGCCCATAGTGAGGAAAGAGAAGACACAAGATCATCATCTCACAAAAACTTTCTGGCTTCAGAAGCTTTATTTTTGAGTAAATCACATGTACCAATAGAGGTGAATATGTGTAGCTCAGGGTTGAACTGTGGAGTCCTTGGGGTTCTCTGAG